TTAATTCAATCCAAGTCAATGGAACACTCACAAGATGTCACCAAAATCACACTGTCCCTTTAAAATCTTTCAGAAAATGATATAAGTGTATCGAATTATATCGAATTGTATCGAATCGTATCGTTGGCTGCAGGGACGTGCAGTCAGGGGAGGCAGGGGAGGCAGAGCCTCACCTGTCATACTCATAGACTGGCCATACTCCAATGTAACGGAAAAACAACTAAAGAAAAACTAAATAGTAATAATAATAACATGTCTCCACTGATCTGTGTTGTAAATGTGATTTCTGTTTGATTCCAATCGCTTTTTATAGTCAAAATCAGCAAATTTGCCGAGCTCCGCTACAACTACATGGGAGCGATGAGGAGTGAGGCAGGGACGAGCTCTGCCTCACGTAAGCCCACAGTAACTTGCTGGAGCGCGGGCACTAATTTAGCGCGGGCACTTATTTTGTGAGCGCGCTCAAGCCAGTTACTGTGGGGTAAGGTGAGGCACAGATGAGCTCTGCCTCACCTCAAAATGCGTCACCTCACAGAAACTGGCTGGAAAGCGGGCACTAAGCGCATGCCTGCACCATCTCACTGTAGATCACCAATGTAATGTTTTTAGATCCCTTTATTACATTTATCCTCGCCATCCATAGTCTCTAAATAACTTATTTCACGTATATATGATATTTAGGCTCGCCGTACAACGGCAATGAAAAAAGCACCAGGGGAGGCAGCCATAACCTCTGCCGCACTGAAGGGGCGCACATGAGCCCACAGGTCCTTGTTGCTACTGTTATTCTACGCAGAGACGGTATAGACGCGAACAACAAACTAGACTTTTGAAACTAGAGGAAGATACGGAGGACTTTTACAAAAAAGTAATAGAGATTGTTGTCCAGAAGGATAGCATGGACTTCATCTTCAAGTCAAGGTAAGACCACATTGGTAATGAAAATTGGTTCTTACTAAGAAAGAACAATCCAATATTTAGATTGTGGGTATCCTTTTGTTGAACGGTCTGTTTAAAATTAATCGAAACATCAGACCAAAAAAGCTTTTGAAAATAACAGAATATTTCGATTAAGGTCAGAATATAATATTTGTAAATCTGACTCTGAAAGAGTCAGTGCCTCACCAGCCATGAACCTCACCGCACGTCACTGGTTGGCTGAATATCGTGATATATATCGTATTGTGAGCTGAATATCGTGTATCGTATCGTATCGTGAGATTAGTGTATCGCTACAGCCCTATTAGTCAGAGCCATGCCAAGGGATGCCAGAGGCGGCTGGCTTCCCTTGCCTCACAATCCAATCAAATCGCATCAATTTAGTGTTGCAGTGACGCATCCTAAAACCCGGAAGTAAGCTGCGCTCGGTTTCCCTCGACAAAAAAGCAATGGGATTTCTCCATAGGATTTAGGAAAATAGCTGGAAATAAGGTCAGTGGAAAACGAACCTGTTAGATAAATGCATGTTTTGTTAAGTCGGATAATATCCACATGTCTACCCTACTTTTATAATTTTCGAATCATAAATCTAATTGATAGAAGATAGATAGCGTCACTACACCACTCTCACCGCCGTTAGAAAGTAGCAAGCAACTGAAGCAAGTGCAATTATGGAGGGTGAAGATTTGGAGTATTTCATCAAAAATAATTGTACTAAACTTCCGCTACAGCAGCAACAACAAATACAATCTGATGACAGGCCGATGCCCAAACTGGAGCTGTGTACAGCGAGGGAAAGAGGAGCGAATCGGACGTAAAACGTTAAAGGTCTCCTGATTTAGTTTGTGAATGAATGCTTATTAGAGTTTGGGCTGGAGAGTGCGTGCGGACCTGTCGGTTAGATAACAGGCGTGTGTAAGTCCTGCATCTGTCTGATACAAATGTGTGTAAAATGATACCGAGTGCTGTAATCACTCATCTGGTTACGTTATTACATTGACCACCAGACCCAAGGGTTAGCCCAAAAACAGACAGACAACAGTATAATTTGAGTTTTTGAAAGACTCAGTACATACCTCGCATGTTTTTCCATATTTTCTTTTGTGATTTGCGCTTGGACTTGTACTTCTTCTTCTTGGGCTTCTTTTCCTCAGATGATTCTGTATCAGAATCGGATGAATCGGTAGATGAGGAAAGGTCTGATTCATCTGAGTCCTCTTTCCTCTGTCCTGATGTTTGACCTCCAGGTGGGATCTTCACTGCTAGCTCTCCTCCCTTTTCCTTTTTGAGTGCAAGAGCTACACAAAACAAATACAAGTAATTATTTCCTAATAACAATCAACGTAAATGTACATTTATAAACTTGTAATCTCCTCAAATCATCTTTACCTTCTTTAAGTCTCTCCCTGAGAAAATGCCGCTCCTCTGTAACTATGTCATGGTTTGTATCGTCAGTTAGCTGAGATTATTTCCGTTAATCTGGTATAACACATTAATAGGTTCTTAAATATTAAGATCCCCTGAAACACAGTGTCGTGGAAAAAAAAACCTGGGGTTTAACAGGTTAGACTAGCTTCACTCATATACCTCATTCACACCAACGGTGTTCAGGGCCGGTTCGGAGCTGGAGCTTGAAAAGCACTGGGTTATCCTGTTCACACCGCAGCCTCTTAGCTCCGGAATCCGGTTCGTTTCAAGCACCAAAAAATTGTCCGGCTGGAGCAAAAGCACCGCATACGTCACGCTTACGTCGAGGCGGGGGCAGGGGCAGGGGCGGGATCAACTCCTGAACAACAACAAAAAGCCCGCGTTTTATCCAGTTTGTACACAACGATGGAGAAACTTAACAAGCAGCAGTGGTCCACTGAAGAAACCAGCTACCTACTGGGAATCTGGTCTTCCGAAGAGGTACAGAGGAAGCTGGAGCACAATCGGCCATTGTTGTTGTTGTCGGTGTGAGCTGTGAGGGGTTTCTGCGCGGTTTGGCTTTATGAAGTATCGGCACGCAAACGGTTACGTCATGACAATGACGCAGCACCAGATGGACTCTGGGCGGTGTGAAAAGAGCCGGAGCTAAACCGAAGAACCGGTTCTGAACCTGAAAAACTCTAGCATTTACACACGGCATCTATTGCACGTCTGTCCGTCCTGGGAGAGGGATTCCTCCTCTGTTGCTCTCCCTGAGGTTTCTCCCATTTTTCCCTTTAAACTGTGGGTTTTCTCCGGAAGTTTGTCCTTATATGATGTGAGGGTCTAAGGACAGAGGGTGTCGTATTGTCATACTGATATTCTGTACAAACTGTGAAGTCCACTGAGACAAATGTAACATTTGTGATATTGGGCTATATAAATAAACATTGATTGATGATTGATTGATTGATTGATTGATTGATTGATAGCATGGAGCTTGAACCGGAGTTGCGTTGGTGTGAATGAGGTAATAGATATATATATCTATGGCTTCAGTAGCCACTTTATAGAGAGGCGAAGTCCCTCCCTTTCCGGGGAGTACCGACTCACATCTTGTTCTACTCCCTTCTATGTCAATGGATGTTATACTGCCACCTAGTGGTAACATATATGCATCGTAGCTATGCATATAGCCCGATCATTACAAAAGGTTATTGAACATTTTCCATGGTTACATAGTTTTGAAAGTCCAGAAGGCAACATTAATACTAATGGCACCCACACATCCCCACACAAGTCCATGCATATAATTAACTGATGAGTTCAGTTTATGGCAAATGTTTTGGGCTATTCACACTTCACTGTGAATCATTCAAAGTGGTTTGTTGATCCTGTTACTGGATCTCACACTCAGCATATATAGAGGGCATGGTTAACATACAAATCAATAATTTGGCGGCTATGGGGAAACCGAACTGAGAAACTTTTGAAAGAACATCTTGCAGTTATAGAGTGGACTTACTGGCTTGGAAACAGGCATAAGAAAGGACCTCCCGGCCGTTTACTGAAGGACATTCGGGTCATGTTTCCCTGATTGAACCACGAAGAGCTCACTGACTTCAGATATAAAGAAGATGGATGTTTTGCGAGCAGGAGCCTTCAGCTTCAGCAATCCTGAAACATAAGGACGCTGGATCCTTACTGGATATACACAGGAAATAAATTTGAGTTGTTTTTACAGTTTTATTAGTTTTTAAAAAGGTAAAAAGTTGGACCTTTACGCTGTTTTTGAATCCATGGCATAGATCATGGATGTTTGTTTTAATGTTATTACTATTATGTATTTTTTTATAAAATAAAAATGTGTTTTTTGTGAATAAAGAAAATTGTAAAATCTGCAGTACATTTTGTGTAAATTCAGTGACCTTACTATAATTTCTCCAACCCACCCCATGAATTGCTTATGCTTCATACATTCTATTTCATACCACCATTAATCATATGTTGGTTATCAGTGTAAACGATGGAACAGGTCACCACTTTATTTGAAGGGGCACAAACATGATGAAGTAATGACAAAGTCATGCTTAGTTCATCATGATTACAACACTTGGAATTGCTGTGACTGGTCAGTTTTTTGGCCTGAACCTTTAATTGCAGATCTATATGAAGAAGACATGAGCATCATTAATAACTCAGAAGTCATGATGATTGAGATACTTTAGTTGATGCATTAATTAAGGTATTGTTCCTGCATTAAGTCATGCATGAGATACCATTAATACCTGTACATTACTGATAGTTCATGAGTACTACATGAATGAATTCATGCTTTTTCATGCATTAAGTCATGCATGAATTCATGATGATTCATGTACCCTTACCGTAAAGTGTTACCCAAAATGGTAGGAGCTTTTACCATGGTCACCAACCAGTGGTGACGACGGTCAAGGCATGCTGAGGGTGTTTAACTTCACCTGGCAGTCTCGTTTGCGAGATAACAATGGATGCCAATGATGAACATTAGAGCCACCATCAGAGGCTAAACTGTTGCTGAAGGGATTGATTTGTCTATAAATCAGAGTCTTCATTTGTTTATATCTTAAATCACAGCTGCTCTAATGTGGTGTAATGCTATCTCTACTTCTCAGGTGACAAAGATGCTGGCAGTAGTGGTGATCCTCTTTGCTCTTCTGTGGATGCCATACCGGACTTTAGTTTTGATCAACTCTTTTGTGTCCACACCTTATCTGGATGCCTGGTTCCTCCTGTTTTGTCGGACGTGCATCTATGCCAACAGCGCTATAAATCCTGTCATATACAATGCTATGTCTCAGAAGTTTCGCTCAGCCTTTCGCAGGCTTTACCGCTGCCAGAGACCAGAGGCTAATCATAGGACACTATCAATGATTCAGACTGGCTTCGGCACCGTCAGAGACCCACGAACCTCGCAGGCCGATAGCAATAGAACCAATGAAAAGGCTAGGAGAGACCTAATGAAAACTGCAATTGAGATGACCTCACAGCAGAATGGAAGCAGCCACCAGGAGACAACAACTGTCAATGGCAAGGCAGCAGACCATCCCACCAACACGGGCCCAGCTGCTCTCAGATCTGTTGGGGGTCCAGCTGAGACGGCTCTATCTGGAGATCAGGTGTTAGGTTGGCCTTCATTAGATGATACTGCAGTTCATTTAGCAGACAGACCTGCAGCCGACCATCAGCAGGAGAACATTTAAGTTTCCATATCACCATATAATAGGATACCTATGAATTTTTAAGTACACAATTTAAATCCAACAAGAAAGAAAAGCTATCATTCTAATTGAGCTGGTTCCATCTGGTGACTTCACAGCCGTAGACAACTAATGTATAGGATTCGCTTTATTGTAAAGACAAAAGAAAAAAAGACCTGTGACTTAGAATATTGAATGATTCCAAAATAATAATTTGTTGCCACTCAGGTCAAATTTAACGAACCAATAAAAAACGAAATATGTTTTGTTTTACTTACTGACAAGCTGAAAGTCAGTTATTATGAATTGAAGGACAAAGAAGACCGCATCTACTGCAATTTACAAATGGTGTCATCCATATCTTTGAAAGAAGAATTTGACGTGACAAACAAAAAGTTAGACATTATTATCTTTCAACATAGCTGTCCCTATTTCAATCACTCTTTTCTAAGATGTTTATCAAAGTATATCAAATATGCATCATAACCATCATGTTTGAGGTCATACATGTGACATTTATTTATTTTCCAGCCTACTTTTAATAACCAGCTGTTAGCTAACATTGACCGTTTTGAAGAGCAGCACACTGCTTCATCGGCATAAGTCGTTTTTCTTTATTTTTTACACCAGCAACATTGTCAATGTCAATTCACACTAAAATAATATTCACTTATTGGGAAAAATGCATCAGGAGATGTTATTTGTGTGACAGTCAGACAGAGAATGACTACTTTCCAGCGGCAGCTGCCGTTAGTAAACAGTAGGCTTAACCCCAGTGTTTTTTCAAAGAATTTTTTTACTTTTCTGTTTTTGTATTACTGCTTTTGTTGTTGATACGCTGTGTATTTTATTGGGGGCGGTGGGGAATTGTGACCGCATGCTTTGTTGCCGCCTGAACGGCCTGCTCTTAATCCATGTAAAGCACTTTGTTACTTTGTTTTAGTGCTGCATAAATAAAGGTATTACTATTATTATAATAATAAGAGCAACATAAACACAGCTCTAAATGATATTCTTTCTGGTTAACCTTGACGTCATGACTTGGCTCCACTCGGGCAATGTGCGGTCGACAACCAAACTGGATCTCATTTGGTTTGGAAATTGAACCAACTGCAAACAACTAGCACCAGCACGGAACTGATTTCAGTGGGAAAGGGGTGACAGTGACCATAAGCGTTCAACCTTACAACAACTATTCTGATGATTCATATGTAATCGTGAACAGAAATACTTCATTATTTGATGAAAGTATGTTTTTTTTGTACACACTATGTCAGTGTAATGAAATGGTTTTCTGTAGTAATTAAATGACATAGTAAAGCATTCAGTTACTTAAAGATTCAGATCTTTATGGCACTTATTTGCTTCCATAACTTATCCCATAAGTCAGCCTACCCTTTAACTGATGAGAACACTAACACCAGTGAGCATGTCTCCTTACCTTTATCATGCTAATACTTTAGCAACTTAGCATACACATGTGTATTGCATACTGTGCATTGTACGTGTGGTTATATTAGCTCTGTGACAACACTAATGTAAATCACTTTTCACATGAGGCTCATGAGGATTTATTAGCCAGGACTATTTTGATCTAGTTGGCAGCGTGTCAAACATGCACTAGGAAGCTATGTAGTGTTTTTACAAGGAGGAATAATGGAAAGTTTAAATAGTCTAAACAAATTAAACTCTTGAATTACATGCTGCATGTAAATATGTCCGACTGTTCTTCATCCTTTATTTGGTGTAGTGAAATGATGATGTACATTGCTGTAAGTGATATTTAAGTTATGATGGTTTTTGTTTACATTTTACTTTGGATTTGTGAAACGTGACCCTGCTGGGTCTACTTCAAGGTTCTTTATTTGTCAAAAGAACATAGCTACAGTGTAGTTATGTCGATGAAAATCTTAGGTCACAGGCTTCTCCAACAGTGCAACACAAAACACAGATAAACAGAAAGATATAGTGCAAGTAAATAGTAAATACAAGAAGAACATTGTTTAAAAAAGTGAAATAGTGCAATAAGAGTCTAATATGCAAGTCATTGAAATATGATATATTAGGTAAATAGATAAATACATTTTAAGTAGCAGCCAGATGAATATTGTGGATGTTGTTTCAACAGTTCAGGTGTTTAACAGTCTTATTGCCTGTGGGATGAAACTGTCTTGCTGTAGTGAACAACATGTATTTCAGTCTTTATGCCCCTAAAAAGATTGCTTTATTACGATTGAGTAAGCAGAATAACCTGTTGTTTATTAACATATTTGAGCTTTTTCAAAATGTGCTATGTGTACTTGGCAGTGCTGATGTTTGGTTCAACAAATAGCTTTAGATATTTACAGATTCATTTAAATGTGAGAAGAATGTTGTGATTTTTTCTCCCCAATCAGGGGCAGTGTAACAATCTGTAAACACAACAAAGACATAATCCTATCCTATTAATATGTTAAACATCTAGTTGCTAATTTGTTCTGTCGGTGGCTTGTATCTCTGCGATGCATGCACAGGTGCTGCGTGACAGCTGAATGCAAAACAGTTAGCGGAAATGTGACAGGACGCTCTGTAGAATTAAGGGGCAGTGCAGAGTTGGTTCTAATTCTTGGTTCTTTGATTATTAAAGTGGAAACACGATCTTTAAATATTCGTTCGACTAATTTCTATTCCTATTCCCTTTAAGCCCAACCAGTGTCCTTAGATTCCACAGATTAGCACTGCGGAGTGGAAGACAAGCTGAATAGCTAAACTAAAGGCAGGACGGTTAGACTCTGTTTCATGCGCAGAGGAACAAGTACAAATGTTGAGAACATTTTTAAACTGATGTATAGTTTTTACATGTGTCTGTACTGGCAGATGTAAATATTATGTTTTTCAACGCTTTATTTAACTGTTTGTATATTAGATCTGTGTAGAATATTACAGAGTTTTAAATGTAATTCAAGTTCTTTCAAGTAAACCCTTCGTCATGGTTTAAGATGTCTCTGACAGCCACAAGAGGAGCAACACCGGACACCCCCCCCCCCCCCCCCCGCTTCCATTGCTCCCCTAGTACAAGGATGGGATGGGTTAAAAGCAGAGAACACATTTCACTGTGTGCTCTGCATGTGTGACCGTTAGAGAGGGTTTCATCCCTCCAATTCTAACAGCAGAATAATTATATTTATTTTCCTTATTTCAACAATGTTACCACGGTGACACTTATTTATATACTGCATTTGAAAATACAATTTTAAATTACATTGGATATTAGAACTCCCTTGAACGTGTGAGAGAGAGAGAGAGAGAGAGAGAGAGAGAGAGAGAGAGAGAGAGAGAGATAGAGAGAGAGAGAGAGAGAGAGAGAGAGAGAGAGAGAGAGAGAGAGAGAGAGAGAGAGAGAGAGAGAGAGAGAGAGATAGATTCTGGGCCTACTCTGTTCTAATTTAGCCCTGGAGAGCTGTAGATGTGTTGTGTTCTTAATGTATTCACAGATTTTGAAATGTATGGATTAGTAATGTGGCTTTATGTGTATTGTTCAAGCATTGTGATGATTTATTGTTTTAATAAATATGCAATGCACCCTGTTGATTGGCTGTGATTTCATAGTAAAGTTTGCATGTGAGTACAGTGGCTTTTTTCAGTATATTGACTGAAGTCAATAAAACACATTTGGTAAAGCCTCTCTCCGACCACTCTTTGATATTTACCACGTCTTCTTCTATTTTGTAATATTTGAATCGTTTTTTTGTAAAACACTGTCCCAACATTATTCAGGATGTTTTCAGAGTAAAGTAATATCAGCAAGGCAGGCATTTTCTCCTCTGTGAATTCTAAACTGTTTGCTTCCCCCAGTTTTGGAACTCACAGTAGTAAACTATACTTGCTGTAACATCCATCCGGTAACTGCTAGAATCCACTTCAAGACACTGGTACTTGCTTACCGTGCTGCGAATGGATCTGGCCCTTCCTACATCCAGGACATGGTTAAACCGTACACCCCAGCGCGTGCACTACGCTCTGCATCAGCCAAACGACTCGCTGCACCCTCGCTGCGAGGGGGACCCAAGTTCCCATCGGCAAAAACATGTGGGTTTGCTGTCCTGGCTCCAAGATGGTGGAATGAGCTCCCCATTGACATCAGGACAGCAGATAGCTACACATCTTCCGGCGCAAACTGAAAACTCATCTCTTTCGACTCCACTTCGAGCGTTAGAACTATTAACGAAGCACTTTTATACTAATAAAGGACTGGCTTACCTAAAGCCAGTTGATTAGCACTTGAAATGTTTGGCTCTATGAAACCTGATGTACTTATATGATTCTGTTTTCTTCAAGGTTGTGTCTTCCTGGTCGAATGTACTTATTGTAAGTCGCTTTGGATAAAAGCGTCAGCTAAATGCAATGTAATGTAATGTAATGTAATCCACCAACTGTGGGTGTAGTTTTATCAACGAGGACTGAAATCATAAGGATTACAAAAATACATCTAATAAAAGATAACCTTGCAACAAGTGTGGTCAAAGTTCAATGGATATGTATTTGGATTTTATATGATTTCCCAGATCTAAACATGTGTATTTTAGTAACATTTTTTAAAACATATCAGTAACCATTAGCATAAATGTGAAATATATCCAAAACGTTTCACAATCTATATCAATATCAATCTCTATGTTTAAGACATATTGTAGTTTGAATTGAATCAGGTCTGTTTATGTTTGTGTTGAACAGCTAATCCTCTATAGCAGGGGTTCCCAACCTTTTTTGCCAAGAGCCCCCCCAAATGACTCCTGTTGGAAGTTGCGTCCCCCCCCCCCCCCCCCCCCCACACACAGACACACACACAAGGGGGGGTGGGGCAACAGCGGTAATTAAAGTTTCAAAGTCTCAAAATGCTACAACTACTGTCACAAACTGGATGAATGTGAAGTATTTTGTTAAAGGAGGATGAAAGCGTAATTAAGGAGCACTATTGGAGTGACTTTGATGGTTATTGGACTCTGGATTCATTAATTTGGATTCCCGCTGTATGAAGAAATTAAAGGACGGCGCGGAAGTGGAAACAATTCACAAAGGGATTAAACTGTTCAACACATGCGCAAAGTAAGCCGGATTTTGCCGATGTGGATTCAAAAGTCGTAAATAATCTACAAAATGGAGGAGACCGATCTGATCGGAGCAACTGTGACAAATAATCCAACTGAAACCGGCATGGACAATGACTGTTTTAAAAATGCGCTTATCCAGACAAGCCTGGTTTGGACACTTTACGGGGAGAAGAAATTTATTATAAATCTATTAAAGAAAGAATTATACATTTCTGTCTTTTTATGCCTTTAATAGCTACTAACTTGAATTTTTATTAAAATTAATTAATCAATTATTATTTATATTTTATTGTAATGTAGAGACAAGGCTTTTAGCGATAATCATGTATTGCGTTACAATTACATGTAAAAAAAAAAAAAAAGGTATGATATGATATTTGGCCTCAAATCATCTGAGGCCTGGCGCCCCCCCTGCGATCCCCCAGGTTGGGAACCACTGCTCTATAGCACACACTCCAGCACATTTACACCAGTCTTTATTCAAGCACACTGTCCCTGTTAGATTAACTCATGGGACATTATTGTAGTAAGCATTATCCACACACACACACACACACACACACACACACACACACACACACACACACACACACACACACACACACACACACACACACACTTTATTTGGTATTGCACAACCTTTGTTAAATGTACTTGAAAACACAGGACTCCGGACCTCTTTCAGAAAAACTCCTCTCCTGCACGATCTTCATCATTGTCCCATAATCCAGAAGAGGACTGGCGATGCCAGTTCTGTTTTAGTATTTCTCAGCTCGGATAACTTGGATGGATCTCGTAATACAGCAGTGTTTTAATGTGACTAAAGAACATACACTGTCTTCTCTTGTTGTTCTGCAGTCAGAGCAACACATTCTCTATGAATAAAATAACTGATAGCTATAAAGAGAAGAAAAATAATGTGTGTGATGTATGTTGAATTATTCTGCATGTTAATTCCTTGCAAACTTTTTGTTACGTCTCTTGATATCGGGGCTGTGGTGGAAATTCCACACTTAATCACCTTCTGGTAAGAAAATAACAAATATTCAAGCTTAAACCAAAGTCGTGTTATTTAATAAAGAGTTATAGCATTTAACAGAATCAATCATATTTCCAGCTGGAAAGGACAGAGGTCCTGCACTAGTAGATAGTACCAGGATCTGACCCCGTTAAGGCCCTGACACACCTACCTGATTTTGGGAGTCAGAGGCCGTCGGGCATTCGCGGCGCCCTACTCAGGTTGGTGTGTCCCGCACTGTCGTTGCTTTACGGCACATTTTCACACCTCCCTCCCTCAACAAGAACCCCTTGTTGATCGTTACAACTGTAAATTCCCATCATAATCAGTAGGACTCAGATGAGGGTGTTGCATTTTTCTTTTCTTTTCCTTATACATGTGATGTTTTGGTGTTGTTTTGTTTCTTTCCGTTAACCGTCAAGTGGGAAATAAGTATTTTTTTGTTTATGTTTCTCCTAAGTTACTGTTATGTTTGGCTGTGAAAAAAAAAAAAATTATTATTATAAAGGGAAGACCATCTATTTGTATTTATTTTGTTTTTTTTAGAAAGGGGCAGGTCACATAAGATTTTATTTTTCTCCCTACTCAATGGTAGAGTCATGTTGTGTGGCAATTATTGTACATTTGGTTTTGCGTACCATGAGCGGGACAAATACAAATGAAATGAAATGAAATAATTCTCCCTTTGGCCGAAATAACGGCCACAATAAATAACAATTTATCATGATATCAATGAAAACCTTTTTTTAAGATTTATAATAACATATAATAAACTGATGAGAAACAATGCTGTATTTTGTGAAAAATAGACATTGCATGTATTTTTAATACATGCAATGTCTATTTTTGGCTGGGCTGAAG